TGCTAATGCCAATAATGCCGCAGGGAGGCAGGGGCTGCAGCTGCAGCTCCTGCTCGAGCTGGCGTGGGAACAGGCCAGAAATAGCCTGTTCCGAAACCCAGTTTTCGTGCCTGAATCTTAGGGCACGTCGAAACAAATGAGGGCCTAAAAATAGCCCAGGGCCTAAGAATAGCCTTCCGTTTCAGGCTGGGAAAACTCTGGGTCTGAAAGACCCAGAAATAGGCTGAAACGCAGTAGGGCCTGCAGGCCCTCGTTTTTCAGTTTTCAGGCTGAAACGACCGGGGCCTGTAGATCCTAAGTCTTAGGCTTTTAGGCTGAATGTCCGGGACGGGTCCTACAGGGCCTGTGTGGCTACGCAGTATGCCACAAGCTCTGAACATACATCATCGTCATCGTTACATGGTGTGAATGGGGGCTGGCGCTTCACACAGGAAGACTGCGCCAGCCCCTACCATACACAGACGAAGAAGAAGGGGTTAGACGAAGAGGAGGGGAAGATGGGAATGTCGTCAACACCAAGTCTCAGCACAGGCCCAAATAGTCCCTCGTCTATATGTCTGAATCCCAATGTCAAGTCTGGATCCAATGTCGTCAAGTCTCAAGTCACAACTCTGTCTCTCTCTGTCGTAGTCTGAGAAGTCAGGTGGTGAGAGGGTGAGAAGAGATGGTGGACTTAGAAGAGGAAGAAGAAGAACTCTCTCTCTCTCTGTGTCCAGTACTAACCTGTGAAGTTGGCGCCTTGATGCAGGTACCTCGAAGATGGAGCTGGAGCTATGGCGCCACAGGTAAGTATCGCTGGCCTCCGCCAGCCATCTCTCCCAACTCTACGATCTACCACCTAATAGCGCCCAGCGCTGAAGACTACCCTACAGCTATGGGCGCCCAGAGCCGAAGACTACAGCTAACGCTGAAGACTACAGCTAACGCTGAAGACTACTGCCTAGCGCTGAAGACTACTGCAGCGCTGCTCCTGAGTGCTGCGGCCGAATCCTGAAGACTACTCGTGCCTACTGACAACTACCTGCCCGTGAAGTGCATGGGAACCTCCTATGTACTACCGGGTGTGCCTCCTGACTCGTGCGAGCAGTCCAGGAGGCTGCTCTTGCCAATGCCGAAGGAAGGCAGGGGCTGCAGCTGCAGCTCCTGCTCAAGCTCGTGAGGAACAGGCTATTTCTGGCCTGTTCCGAAACCCTGTATTCGTGCCTGAGTCTTGAAAGACCCAGAAATAGGCTGAAACGGAATAGGGCCTGCAGGCCCTCGTATTTCAGCTTCCAGGCTGAAACGACCGGGGCCTGCAAGCCCTAACTTTTAGGCTTTTAGGCTGAAAGTCCGGGACGGGCCCTGCAGGGCCCGTGTGGCTACGCAGTATGCCACACGTCGTCTCTGTTTTTTTCTTGTACTGAGTTTTCTTCAACTCTGAGTATCTGACCTAAAAGGCTAAAAACTTAGTAAAAAGCTAAAACTTCAACTTTAGGTCAGCTTTGGATGTGTGTGATGACTCTGGTGAGTTGTGAGTCTTGGTGTGTCAGATTTGGATTTGGATGTGTGTGCTGAGTTGGACTACTCAGTTGAGTTCTCTTCAACTCTGACCGAAAACTTCAACTCTGACATAAAACTTCAACTCTGACTGAAAACGTCAACTCTGACCGAAAACTTCAACTCTGACAGAAATGGGTGAGTATTCAATACACAAAGTTTAACCCAGATCATGGCACGTGCACATGAAATCACGTACACATGAAGTATGCGCATGCCATGACACACACGCACGAAGTATGCACATGACACACACAAGCACAATCTGAGATCCACTCCTCAAGTCGACATAAGCATCAGCAATTTTTTTAAGGTAAGGTAATCCAAGAGGCCGCGACCAACAACGACAACTCGAGAATCCCGTTTCCTCCCACCCTTCTCCTACCCTCAATTCAAACCATCATTCCACACTCCAAACCGGGTAAGTACCCGGAGCCATGCGGTCGAAAGAGGACTTTCTCGTCAACAGAAAGTATTATATAGCTATTCTATTCCATACTACTGCAAACCTTCACTCAATAGAGCAGCCGTCAGCGTCCAAATCGTGTCTCAGTTCCTCGCGAAACTCCCAAGGGCTGTCGCGAAGAATCGGTCAGAGAAACTCTTCACACAAAATTCCTTACGCAACGTGAGAACCTGTACCGGAATATGGGACCAGATGGTAGTTGGCAAACTGCAGCTAAACAGTCCGTGCAGCCATGGTGGCCATGAGAACTCCGACACGAGGAACAATCGAAAGATAGAGCACACCGAGCCGTTAGCCAGGATAACTCAAGACATGAAGTACAAACGTAAGCTAGAGTAACTCAAGCTTGCATTACTGCAAAATGGAGCAAAACAGTACATAGCGCATGCGGTCCTGTGTTTCGGTCAATCCGATTCAGCAACCCAGTAATCGCTGCCAATTTCTGCTTCCAGCAGGTCCAGGATTTGAAAACCTGTCCGAAAGGTGATCTCTCTGAGGCCCAAATCGTGTCCTCATTCTTGGTTCTCTGAAAACAACCCAAATTAGGGTGCCGCTGCTGCACCAATAGCCTACAGGCTACAGCCTAGAAAGTCCTAAGACCTCGAATTCCCATCTGTCCTTTTTAAGGTCACGGACTTCGGATAGCATTTCTCGAATAGCCTCCGAATTTTCTTAGCTTTCTCAATAGTCTCCGGTCGTCCTTTCTGGAAGCCAATGAAAACCGAGACGTCGTCCATTAGCCTGATGAGGCCCTGATCCCATAGATCAGACGTCTGTCAGTGCCCGAAAACTTCAACTCTGACCGAAAACTTCAACTCTGACCAAAAATTTCAAACATGACCGAAAATTTCAAATATGACCAATAACTTCAACTTTAGGTCAGATTTTTGTACAAATCTGAAACAACCAAATCGTTTCTCAGTTGACGTAAAACGTTTCTCAGCACACAGTTTTCTTCAAAGCTGACCTAAAACTTCAACTTTAGGTCAAAATAGGAGTCAGGACCCTAAGGCCCTGTTTAAAAAAAAAAAAAAAAAAAAAAAAAAAAGAGGTCAGATTTGGATGTGTTTGTGCTGAGTTGTGAGTCGGCTGTGTCCAATGGTCAGATGGCTATTTTGTTTTCACTCTCGCGCTGCTTCGCATCGCTGTAACGGTCTCGCCTTTGAAGTTTCATGCAATTTGGCGCTTTCTCGGTCCTGAACGTCCTGCGACATCCGAAGCTTCACCCTGTTCAGTAGGTATGTGACAGTTGAAATCTGTACCAACCAGTGGCAAAGCTCAGGAAATTATCCGCAAACTTTGGCGCAAACATGCGGATCTGCTGACAAAAATCGCAGCAAAGTTTCTTTTCCTTTTCTTTTCTTTTTTTTCTTTTTTCTTTTTTTTTTTTTTCTTTTTTTTAAACAGGGCCTTAGGGTCCTGACTCCTATTCTGGGGAGCTTCAGTTCGGTTCCTTTTCCACCGGCAAGTCATAGAAAATTTTACATCAATGGAAACTCACACACCCTTCCTTCCGTCTGGCTGATCGCAGCAAAGTTTCTCCGTCTGAAAACTTTGAAAACTCTCATGCCATTGTGCATCATGCCATGATTGCCCACTGACTACGCGCACTGAGAGCGATGGATTTTAATTTTTGTCTGCCATGCGTTGTGTCGTTGTTCCATTTGCACAGGTGGGATGCTGGTCTTGAAAGTGTGCAGTTAACGCATCGGCTCTCGAAGCCGATGACGGAGATCGAGAATCGACTGTGTGCAGCGGTGGAGGTGGATGCAGAAAGCGGCGCGTTCACACTGGCGCCGAAACGCAGCACTCTTCAAATTGACAAGGCCAAACATCTCAACGGCATTGCGATCGGGACCGCCCACCTGATTGGTGATAAACAGCTGGTTCGTCCGTTTATTTTTTTTTTTTACCTTTTCTTTTCCTTTTCTTTTCTTTTTTTTTTGATGGAGAATGATATCTAATCATCCATTCTGACAAGGAACCAATTCACCCATCACTGATGTGCAACCCCCCACCCCCATCGACCACCCCTCTAGCACACCTGAGTTCCGATGAAGAAGATCAACATCAAATGACCAGATTTTAATGAAGAAACATTAGTCAAGGTGATGGATCGTGCCGATTGTTGCTACAAACACTCGGCATCATGCCGATTGTTGCAACAAATCACCAGTTCGATGTAATCTTAGGGCATGCAACAGACACTCAACATCACCATGATGCTGGATTGTTCCTAGAAAGGTTGGAGTTCAACTGATAAGGGACTGTTGGGAAGAGAGAGAAAAAGAAAATGGGGGAAGAAGAGATGGTGGGCGCGGGTGGGGGTGGTGGGAAAGGGGAGAAGAATGAGAGCAAACAGAGTTGTGTTCAGAACAACCTGCACAGAGCCTTAAAGCACCAGTACAACATGGTGGGCACCTGGGCCGTGGGCCTGACACCTCAAATTCTGGAGGCGCGAAACGAAAACGCGACCACCGATCGGATTTATCAATGGCGGGCCCAGCGTTTGACGTTTCGGCCTCGCTCGTTTTCTTGTGGCGACAAGTTTCGGACTGCAAGGCTTGGGCCGTGTTTGAGTGGTTTTTAAACTTTAAACGGCTAGTACACGGCCCCAGCCTTGCAGAAAGTTTTTGTTGCCACAAGCAAAACTGGAGGCCTCACGCGGCCAGGCCCGCTGTTGAAAAAAAAGATCGACGGCCTCCGAAGAGGTTCGGGTTTCGTGCTGACACCCGCGGCCCGATATGTGGTGTACTGGTGTTTTAAGGCTGTGGCTATGTTCTATTCCGGGGAGCTTCAGTCCAGTTCCTATTCGTCTTATCTCGGCATGCTATGTCTTTTATTCACGTTTTTCAGAAAAAAAACTTTCTCTCTTTTCTTTTCAGTCTTTTTTTTTTTTTTTTTTTTTTGTTGAAAGATGGGAATCCAGGATGTATGTATGAATATGTATGAACTTATAAAGTCGTAGAGAACTGCTGCCGGTGAACCGTAGGCAGAGAGGGAGAAGAGGACAACAAACGAGGGGGCTGTGACAAACTGTTTCGTCGGAGTTTCACCGACTGAATCAAAACAATGATCAGGAGGGGGAACATCTACAGTCTGCAGAGTGCCCTAACAGACACAATGAGGAAAAGGACAAGAAATGGGCGGCTGTGACAGACTGTTTTGTTTGATTGAGCTCCCCCAACTCGTCAGGAGGCTGAACCCTCTACAGTCTGCAGAGTCCCCTAGTAGTATTTAGGTACATGATTATAGTGCAAGGAAGATGAGCGATAGCGAACTTCAGAAATCAAACAGCATCATACACATGAGACCAGATAGTCGTGACCTCGAACAAATAGCACAATTGCATCACGAGTTTCACCAAATAGAGCACAGCAAAAACTCATAATTGACAATGCTGGAATAGTCTCATCATCATCAACGAAGAACCAATGTTGATATCCTATCTGGCGCTTGGCGCCCAGACTATAGATGGCAGATCCTATCTAGCCTATCTATAATGCCGCTGATGACGTCAACAGCTTCCCAAAGTATGAGTAGATCTCGGACAATGCCGAACGCTTCAAGCGCCAGGTATGTCTCTCGTATCACTCACAACCTCGTTCCCCAACTCACAGATGCCTCATGCACCCAAGGACCGCCATGCGCCCCATCCAGCATACAGCAGCGCAGCTCAGCTATGGCTGCCCGCTCCTTCCAGCTCGCCCGTGAGCGCGTGAGCGCTGGCCAGCGATAGCGCAGCAGCGCTTGCGCACAATGCAGCCAGTGCCCGAATGCCCAATGTGTGGGCAGGCCCTTTCCTAAATGGAAGCGGCCTTCCTGCCTTGCGTGCAGCCTTGCTGCGCTGGGCCCCTGCTTAGAAGCTTCCGGTAGGCCCACAGAGGCTGAGCCCCAGTCCAAACGAATTCAGGGCCAGGGCCTGTGGCAGTTACCCGTGCCCAACTGTTTACAATCTGAGTTGGGTCCACGCTGCGTATCTCGCCCAGGGCCTGACTCAGATGCATTTGATAAAGGAAGCCAGAGCCTGGGCGCTTTCAACCAACTGGCGCTGCGCAACTACCTGAATTTCCCCAGTTGCGTGTTGACCCCAAAATTGGCCTGTAGGCCTCGGTCGAGCCTGCCTTCACTTAGGGCGGCCGACTGTACTGAACATAGGGCCCAATAGGGCGTATCGAGGCCTTGTGCCTCGCACTCCCTCCTCCATACTTCGCTAGTCCTCTGAGAAGTTTAATCTTCAATAATCTGGCGCTTTCCCTTATGCAGAGCCTTTTCATATTGGGCCACAACCTGAGGAGCGGTCTGCATCAGCTCCTCCCTCGTAAACCATCGATCCTCCTTTGGATTAGTATGATGTCTGAACCGAACCCGGTACTGCAGCTTCGGTTTCGGAAGACGTCCCCTGTCTGTTGGTCTTGGAACTGGCATTTCCTTGTGGTCAACGATGTCGTCGATGTCGACCTCTCCATCCATGGTTGGGGGCAGCATTGAGTGACGAGAAGGAAACTGATCTGTTTCTTTGAAAGGTGCAAGCTTTGAGGCGTGGAAAACAGGGTAAGTGTGTAAGTAACCAGGGATGCGAATAACATAAGAAGGGCCATCTGGTTCATCCCCAACAACATCTAGAATCTCCCATGGTCCAAAGTATTGTGGCATGAGCTTACAGGAGATCCAGTGCTCCTGTCCCAGTTTTGAGGACTTATCCCAGACTCTTTCTCCTACCTGGAATGTAAATGGGCGGCGGCGTTTGTTCTCTGACTCTATCATCGCCGCATGTGCTTTATGCATTTGCTCAACAGCCTGCTGCATCAGGCGCTCATACCAATAAGCAGACTCTAAGGTCCGCGGTGCAGCAGATGGCTGATTCTCAGGTAGTAGGAAGTCCAACAGCAGTCTAAGCTTGAAAGTCAGTAGCAAGCTGTTCGGGCTCACTCCCGTAGCGTTGTGCACAGCGTTGTTGTACAGGCTGGCGATGAGGGCAAGTTTCTCATCCTAGTCTCTCTGATTTGGCTTGATGTAATGCCTCAGCAGGTGTTGTACAACGCGGTTCAACTGCTCTGCTTGCCCATTCGCCTCTGGGTGATTACCTGATGTCATTTGCAACTGCGTACCTTGTTTTGCAGCTGCAACTTTCCTTAATTCACTGGTGAATCACACATCCCGGTCACTAACTATAGGCTTAGGCAGTCCAAAATCTTTTTATTTTATTTTATATATATATATTAAAGCTCCATCTATTGGTGGGGAGCTGCACCTGCTGGAAACCGGGTCCAGCGTCCCTCACATTATGAAAGTAAACAGAGTATAGAAGAGCAAATCTCAGTGAATCCTATGCTGGAAACCGGGTCTAGCGTCCCACTCTTACTGATTTTGACAGTCCAATAACATGTAACTAAACCATTCTACAAATTTTGAATGAAGAGTACTACTAGCCATGGGGAAGCCTCTTCAGTCAGAATTCTAATCTCTGACCCAGTTCTCTTTGAACAACTTGATCACATACTCAGTTTTAGCTGTTGCAGGCATCGTGACTAACCTAGCATACTTGCTAAACCTATCCACAATGGCATAGACGTAGCGCATTCCACTCTTGCTGGTGATCAGTGTATCCATGAAGTCCATGGACAGGCTCTCACCAGCCTTTCCGGAATCGGAAGGGGCTTTAGAAGCCCAAGAGGAGCCTGTGTTCGTGGCTTGTCCCTCTGACAGACCTGACAAGTTTCCACGTACAGCTTAGCGTCTTTCATCATCGTGGGTCACTAGAACCGCTGCAACAAATTGGCTGCTGTCTTTTTGTATCCAAAAATGTCCGGTGGCATCATGACACTCGCCTAAAAATAAACTACGCAAAGACTCTCTATCCGACACACACAGACGTTTATTCCCTTCCTTCTCAAGGAACAGCAGACCATTGACCAACTAAAACTCGGCAGAAGTGGCTTTGTCCATCGCCTCGAGTCTGCGTATGATCTCAGACACGAACTTGTCCTCGTGATAGGCTTCCACCAACGAGCGAGTGACATCGTCCGCAAGCCCAAACTCAGTGATCAGCGCACCGGAGAAGTCTGGCCAACGCGACAACGCATCAGCAACCTTGTTGTACTCTGTTATGACCCGGATCAATTGCGAAGTACAAATTCACCAATCAGCACAATGTTCACCAACTGCAAAAGGAAATGAATGAACTTGAGAGGATGGAGAGGATAAGAAGAAGAAGAAGAAGTAGAAAAGACAATGTACACCAGCAAGAACCAATGTCAAAGCTCTTCTTCTTCGCTCAACTCCCTTGCATCTTATCTCCCCCTCCTCTTTATAAATTCAAACAATAAATAATACAACAATGTTGGAATGAAGGTCCAGTATCACTGCCCAAGTCTCTCTTCTACAGCTGGACAACTATGAGGTCCACCATAGCCATAGCCGCCTCTCCTTCCTAGGCCGAGGCTATGGCGGACTGCAGAGTACAACCACGATGCCCAAAGGACTTCCCAAATGAGTTATGGCTKTCCCCCTAAGTGYCGACATGCCCCAAGATGCTTCGGAGATGCTTGGAGTAGYTCCCTCCCTCGAAGGGCCTTCTTACTGCTGCTCCAAGGTGTAGGAGATGGCTGCCACCATAGCCGGTAAGTACCTCGGCTCCTTCTCTCTCCCCCCTTCTTCTTCCTCCTTCTTCTTCTTCTTCTTCCT